CGTCCATCATGGCGCTGGCTCGAGCCGAGGCTCATGCTGATCTCGTTGCCCTCCAAGCGGTCGAAGGTGATTTGATTGCAATCCACGGGGTCCACGCCGCTGACGTAGCCTCGGGCGCGCGCATGGGGCGCAGACAGCTGGTTTCGCCCTTGGTTTCCCTCGGCTTTCAGCCTAACCGAGACAGGGGGTTTCCCAAGCAAAGAAACACACCAGCCCAGCCACAGCTTTCGGCTGGCTTTAGGGAAAAACCCGGGCTTTCCCAAAAAAATCGCCTGAAGTCACAGGTCCTTTTTCCTCAGTTGCCCCTTAGAGGGACCCGGTCCAAAAAATGGAAAACGAACCAAAGGGTGAGGTCGTCCAAATATGGACCAATCCAAACGAACCAAAAGGTTCAGAGGTCGGTTTGGGGCAAGTCTGAGTTTCGGGGAACCCATGGAGCCGAAATCGAATCCTTCCTGCGAATCCTTCCATCGGGAAAAAAACATCCCGCTGCCAAAACCGTCAGAAAACCGAAAGGCTTTCTGATCCGCCAACCACCCACAGGAGTTTCCTCTGCAAGTCTTGCTTTTTGGTGTTATGTTCGTCTGTAGGGGAGTTTCCTGACTTTGAACATAATGACTTTTCCAACCCTTGGTATGTCGGCTACCTGGATTGTCTTTTTGCAGTTTCCTGCTAAAAACCAACGAAACAGCAATCGAAAAAGACCCGGAAAAATGCGAGCAACGCTGAAGTAGCCCAGCCCGCTGCCTTGAATTCCCTCGTTACCACAACATTTCCACCACTCCAAAGTCACTCTGCCTCACCGAGAAAACGACTCTGCTCTCGGCGCGCGGGTGTGTTTTGCTTGGGGTTTCCAATCTTTTGGTCAGTAAAAACAAAGGGAAACCAACAGAAAACCGCTGCGCCATGTTGGGGGGTCCCCTAAACAAAACACCCATGTCAATCAACCAGGGTTTAAAGCACGTAGGTTCCCATTTGGGTTGGTCCAAATGACCCCATTTGGAAACTTACCCAGCCTTCCATGCGCAAACGCAACTCTATGCCGGTGCAACTCTATACTTGTGCAACCGGAACAAGGCTGGAACACTCCCTCAAAGCAAACCAAACGAGGTCAAAGCAGGGCTGTTTCTTCTGTGGAGTGAGGGGAGGTTCTGAAAAAAAAGTCAAACGCATGGATCGCAACCCCTCGGCTGGAGAACTCGCCCCCCGAAATGTCCGCAACCAATTGGTGTTTTGGAGCCGAATCGGTTTGGTGGCTCAGGGCTGGCTTCCCATTTACCCGCAAGCCAAATATTCAAATGCCTAAACCGCCAATCCAAACCACCAATTGGGTAACCTGAAATGGGTCTCTCCTTTTTGTAGGGACCCCCCCCCCACCAAAGAACAAACAAACATAGCGGGTTATTGGTCTCCCTTTAACAATCACAAAAACGAGGCATCCTCAAAAAACGACACACCCAAATGGCGGTTTCAAGATAAAACCGGGTGCCCTTCTAAACACACCCCGTATCTAAAAAGAAAAGTGCCCTCAAGTCCTCAAGTCCCTCCAACGCTTCAAGCGGCTGAAGACATTGGACACGGTAATGAGCAAAGTCGTGCCCCGCGCCAGCCCGAGCATTGGATACCGCAGGTTGGATCCCACGGTCAGAAGCAATAAGCACCTCGCTTATGTTTCGGCAGAGCTGCTGAGCTAAAGAGCTGCTGCTTCATATTTGCCCTCCCACCAGCTAACATGAAAGTGCACAGACCCCTGTAGAAAGACTACTTTCCTCTTGGAAAGTGCCAGACAATGGCCCGAAAAGTGGCGCGCCCAGATAAATCAAAGGCGCAATCTCTGCAGTAGTGCATTCTCCTCCATTTGCTTTTGCCCCTTGGAAGAACAACAAACCTATGTCCAACTAACAGGGTGAAATACATGGATTAGGCAAGTGGGAGGTCTTAAGACTAATGCTGCCATGTTAAAGTGCTTCGTTCGTATCACCGAAAGCGGCCTTAACATCAGCACAATGTTCAGGTATGGGCCTCACGGGCATGAAGGCTTACATGCAACTCACATAAGGTGTAAGGCAAAACCCGTTGCACAGGTGGTACTTGGATGTTCGGCCAAATTTGTAAGTGGTTGGCAACAACAAGCTTAACCCGACTTAGGGGGACTTACAAGGGTGCTATGACCTAGGTGACCCATACTGACTTGGCCGAACGCCCAAGCAAGCAAGCTCCAAACCACCAAACCGCACACCTCACTTCCGATCAGCGGATGGGCCAAAAAAAAAGCAACCAAGTGTTTGCTTTTATTAGCCACTAAAACTTGGTTGACGTTGGACGGGGAGCATGTTTTTTTTAGATTTTAGCTGTTCAGTGGTTGGATTTCAACCACTAAACCACAATAAGCAAACATGCAAAATGTTTCCCAAGAACCACCACAAACCCAAAAAGCGACTAAAGCCCAAGAACTTGGGGGCGTGCGACAAGCTTGCCAGCCTAAGACACAAAGAATGCA